GTGTTTGAATTGAGAGTTATTAGAAGTGTTTTTTGTGTTGAAGTGACCGTACAAGCGTTGTGAGCGATCGACCTATATCAAGTTCAAGAGTTAGAAGACCACAGGAGTTGTTTAGTTAGTTATTAGATAATCAGTTAAAAGAAAAGAAGTGGTGGATTAGAGAAACTACTTCACCTTGCAGCATCGTCAAGAAAGGTTGTATTAGCGTTAAAATCGAAGTTGCTGTGCTGTTTATTAGTGTTGAATTTGCTTGTTGCTGAGCTGCGTCGAAAACTAGTTGTGGAGTCGTCGAGTTAGGACTGTATCAACTTCGCCAAACCCGCCTCTTGATCCAAGTCGAGGCCGGGTCGAGTCAGGGATCCGAAATTACATTTCGGCCCTGTCCATTGTTACATGTGCTACCTAGCCGTGTTAACATTGAAATCAACGTAGTTTTACACCACAACATCGTGTAGAGTTGTGTGTGGTATCATCGGAGTCCGCCAAACCTTGCGGATCCTTTGAAAATCTTAAATTTGTGTTACGGGAGGAATTTGTGGGGATAGAAAATTGTTAAGAGTTGTTCTAGTTCTTTTCGAACTGCAATAATTTTAAGGTTGAAGGCAGCGTAACTGCACCGTAGTTTCATCCGCTCTCACAAGTGGTGATTCTTACCTTCTCCGGCTCAGCCTACGCTACACTGCGTAGGAGTTCTACAACGGTACCGGTGCCAGTGCCACTGTCGACAGCCACAGAGGCTCCAGGGGGGGGAGGCAACCCCAAGAGCTTGTTTTTCTCTGCCTCGTAGTCTCTGGCCTGAATCCAGCGGAAGACACCGCGTCGTTTCATAGGCGGGTTCACTTCATCAACCCCAGGAACACCATCGGCCTGTGAGGAAATCAGAAACATGAACACTATGAGTCAGCCGGAAGATACAGAAAAAGGAATAGGCAAAATTTAACTTACCCAATCGTCAGCCCATGTGCGTATGCGCGAGGTATTGAGCAGCAGGACTTGGTTTGAGTCTAATGGATTCTTAACGCAGGTGACATTTTCACCCGCCTTGAAATCCTTTGCAAAACGTGCCATTAATGTGCGAAATTTGTGTTCACCCCCACTAAGTATAGCAGACTGACAAATGTGAGTGTCAGTATGAATACTTAAAATATGAGACGAGATATCAAAAGTACTAACTCCGGCAGAAGCCACAGAGGCCTCACCATCGGATTCTTCAGAGTTACCGGCCTCTGCAGGAGCAGAAGCTTTGAGCGCACTTGCAAGCGAACGGCGTGCGTTCTCGGTCTTGGACGGGTTCTCGTGGATGATACGGAAACCCATGGTTGAACTGGCGGGTGCCATCAAGGCGGCGTCAATAAAAGTTTGGAATAATTCTGGCGTTTTGATCGGTTGTTTATCCTTACCCTTATACCCCTTTGAACAGTTGATAAAACCCTGGATCGCAAGGTCTCGAGCAACCCAGGTGCGCTCGAGAACTTCAGAAACACCGGGGAGATCTTCATTGCAGGTGTCAAACATCTGGTGTCTGAAAGAAGTGAAAGAGATTTCTTTTGGTCGCAAGGTGAGTTGATTAGGCAATTTTGGATTGAATTTTTTGTACTTGGGCTTGGTTGATTTAGTGACCGCGGAGTTGTTTCGGGATCCACCAGGAGTACGCTTACTCTTTTTGGGTTCCGGTTGGTCAGGGCATTCGGGTTGGTAAAGGTTGAAATAGATTTGAAATGTTTGTTCTTTGTCAGGGACCTCATCCTCCTCATGATCCGTCCTCGGGGTGGCAGGAATTGGAGCGGTAGGCACAGCACCACAAGTATCGTTGAAGAGATCAAGAGGCAGGTCTGTAAGGTTACGCTATCAGTCTTTTAAGATCATACCAAAGCAAGTGATTAGAGAGAATGACTTACCGTCATCAGTTCCAATTGCAATGACCGAAGGGCCATCTGTCGGGGCATGTCTCTTCAAAGGTGAACTGTAGTTGTGGTTCGATGTCGAATCCGTGGCTGACGGGGTATGTTGTGATGTTTGGGAAGCGTTCAAGATGAACGGATTGATATGGGGGTTGATTGATGATCCAGAGGAAGTACCTTGTGAGCAAGTTGAAGGGGTAAAGGGAGTTGGACCCCGGTTGAAACACAGAGGAGTTTTCGAAGGAAATAATCGCGCAGTGGGGTCATGAACCGGCCTTCCCAGGGAAATGGAACGTGCAGGCAGAGGCGAATAGTTTGCCGGAGGGATAATGGGAGGGGGGAGGTTGAAAGGATTGCTACTGGCGAGAACCAACGGTGGAACCTTTGGTGTGACCGTGTGGCTAATTGGAGAATGGAGAGACGCATGAGATCCTTGCTACTAAAGTCCAGGGCAGTCAAAATTACTCACCTAGCTCTTTGACCCTGAAAGCCCGGGTATCTTTGACCATTGATGTGTTGTGTCACGGTGTCAATTCTACCATTGGCCGGCCTACATGTTTGACAACAAAGGAAACACACATATCAGCAAAAACGAATGATAAACATGAAAATTGATTTGAAAGTGGAAAATATGAAAACAGAGATCAACAAACAAAGGGACATGGGAAGGGTTCCTGTTTCCCATCCTGTTGTCTTTTGAAAATCAGATTAGAGTAGCGAGTTGAAAAACAGGAAATAAATTTGAGCGTTGGTTTGAGGAACTGGACAGGAAAGAGGGCTTCTTATGGTTGTTTGGCCTACACGATCAGAATGTGGTTGAGCAGAGTGATTGATGTTAGGGTGAGGAAAAAATGGAAAACTGACCGGTGTTTGGCGCCAGACGTAGAGCCGTGGGATTTGGTCTTGAGGTGAAAGGCCATTTTCTGGTTCAAAAGTGATTCGAATCTGAACTCTGCTGACAATCAATCAGTCGTCCTATCGATGGATCTATTGAATCTTGAGCAGGATCGAACGATATCTTGCGCAGTGGGTGAGTAGGGTGGCCATGGAAAACAGATCGCTGGCCTAATGGGGTGATGTTGTGGTATGGGGCTGGTGTGACCAACCCAAACTGGGACTGGTTGGGGTTGTGGAAGCGGTCCAGAAGGGCCGCACACCCGGCCACCCTAGATGAGCAAGTAAGGCCTGTATTGACTGTATTGACGGAAAAAAAATAAAAATAAAAAAGCACCATGACACAAATTTTGAGAACAGCTGTACCAGATGATTTAAAAAAACCATTGAGACTAGTTTGCTTGAGTGATGAGAATTGAACATGGCTGAGATCCGACAGTTTTGTGAAAGGAGAAGCACATCACTGATAAGTTCAGATATTGAAGACATGGTGGGTGAGGCTGGGCGTGTGGATATGTAGCAAAAAAAATTTGTTGCGGAAAGTCTCACAACAGACAGAAGTGGGCTTCTGTCAGCTTGATTTAAGCATATTATGCTTCCGCAGCCCAGAATTTCAAATATATGCTCATATGCAGTATATTTGGTTTTCTTTCGATTTAAGTCAATTCTACTTGTTTCTTCTTGGTGATCTATCTATAGTCCTTGAGTCTCGTCTATAGATCCGACAATATGTTATGGACAGACTTGGGGGTTTTTGGCGACGAGGGTCAAGGGAGTTCTGGTGAGGATTTGTATCTATTACCAGTCTTCCTATGTGGATTGTCGGATGAGGGAAAATCTGTACAGGCAATGTATCTACAACTATAAGATGGTTCTCGAGCTTGTGTTTTTTTATGTTTTAAGCATTATCCATCAAGGGTTTTGGTTTTGGCAGGGAGCACACGTATACCAAAAAAAATCCCCCAAAATCCTATGCTTGTAGCGAGATATGCTTATTTCGAACTTGCTTACATCGAGAACCGACTGTATGTGATACATAACGCCCGCCCTTCAAACCACTCGCATACACTCAGCCATTCACTTGGAACTTTGACATTGTCAGAATTCCTTTTTATCTTGTTCTCGTTTATCAATCTCATTCGATTAGTATCACAAGTGAAGAAGAATGAGAAAAAGGTTGATGACTACTCAAGCAGCTCAAAGTCCTTCTTCGAGATCGAGTAGGCTCAGCTTTGTCTCTTACGAACCCATACCGCCATTTTTTTAGCACCAGGTTCTCATTTTCGTGACAATTTCTACCCCCGGTATTCCTTGTTACGGAGGTTGGCTGGAAAGCTAGGAGGCAGAGGGAATGTCCGAGAAGAGGACAATTCTGTGTTTCTTGATCGATCGTTTCAAACGAGCAAAGGTCAGGAAGAAGAAACCAAGGGGCAAAAAGGAGGCAAAAGTCACCACAAAACACTTGTTTTGGAATCACGTTCTCAAGTTCAACCCCGTGCTGCATCTCCTTCTATCCCATCTTGTGATGATCGTTGTCTCCAGCCTGGGCCGAGCACAAGACCTCACCGTAGCGACAAAAAAGCTATGATATCCTCTTACAACGAGAACAGCTCAATTCACAGCACAGCTAGTTGAGACCCCTGTGCAACAAGGCCATCTATAATGTACTTGCCTTTTTCCATCTGTTTGGTCTGAAAGCACATCATCTACAGCTTCCTGAAGAGTTTTGTCTCCAAGAACCCCGGGCCTAGCTTCTGACTAGCTAGGAATGTGTACATGTATACACACTGACGAGCTCTAGAAGTCGGATGAATTCGGAAATTGAATTTGTCTCACATCAAGAAGTGCTCTTTTCCACCTCTCCTGAGTCCTTGGGTGTCATCTAAATATTCATCGACAGCCGACCCCGCGTCATCTTTACTCTCGACTCTTGCCGAGTCCTCTCAGTGGTGATCGCGCCTGATATCACACAGCCATAACAACTGTCCTCAATTTTTAAACGTCATCTTTGCGTCGCAAATACTGGAAATTTCGAATTGGCCCAGTCAGCAGGAGAATCGGGGCGAATTTACTGTCGTTTTTTGCAAGGCACCGACAATCCTCACGGTGCAAGACCGAGTCTCTACTCATACATCGCATCTCGACTGTGTAGATTGAGTGAGGGCAGAGTGAAGATGCCCACCTGATGGCATCTGTTACAATCGCATGGATGTCGGTCATTACTATATGTTTTCTGGTCTGTCTCAGTTCGGAAATTCGATTTCATCCGGAGCCCTTCGAAGACACAATCATTGGAAAAGGTGTAGACGGAATCTCGGAAGGGACGACTATCATCAATTTACCTTCAGGCGCAGACGAAAAATTGATAACATCGGATCTGATTCACCAAGAAGTTCCTCCGGAGACCGCTTCTCAATTCAAAAGGTTCCGTCCCAGCCGCAAACCTTCAAGGCCACCTCCACACACGGTGAGACAGATCTGGTGGGTCGAGACAATTCACCGATTTCGGAAGGCCTGGAAGGTGCTAGGAAAAAAAGTTCGAAAGCTCTGGGGATCTCTACGCAAAGCTTGGGCAAGAGCAGAAAGTCACTGGAAGTCACTGGGTGAGTTGCCAACTGATTCTATGTTCCATGACCTTAGACGAGGTTGGTATTGTAGCTGTCACATCATCCAGAATGTTACTCCTCCATAGCTTCTCACAGATGAAGCCATGTACAATACAAAAATAGTCATCAGATATCAGCCTCAGGCAAAGATACTCATCAAATCTGTCTGTAACGATCCAAAGGCCATTGAAGCCTGGTTTCTTTTTGCAGAATGACCTAAAATGTCACCCATGCTCATCAACCTGAACGCATACTGTCCAGCATTCCAAATAGACTGCTGATTCGAAAATCTTTGAATTTCAACTTTTAGGCAGAACCCAGGACAATTTACAACTCATAGGCAAAGCGCAAGAGAAGCTTCAACTTGAAGGCGAAAGGCAGGAAGTGACAGCATTTGTGCCAACAAGACGGTCTGCGGCGACTACACTCAAGATTCTAGGGCATTATGTCCAGAATTATTATCATACTGAACAGGAGTATCGCGATCCGTTCATGCGACTATCAATCATTGCTTTTTTCAACAATATCCTTATTACAAATCAACCTCAAAGGCGTCAATTCGAGCAACTGATTGTTAAAGCCCAATTGCATACACCAATCCCCTCAAGCGAAATGCGAGATCAACGTGCGTAGATACCCTCTGACCATTTTCAATTGAACAATTTTTTGCTTTGAGATGTACTCGGTCAAAATGACTTTTTAATGTCTAGGAGAGATCTGTGAATACTTTCGCACATGTTTGGTTTCTAATAAAGCTGCTCCATATTTCAGGACTTGCCACCCCGCACGCGGAACTGTCCATAGATGCCGATCATAACAAGGCTAACATTGCAGAAGAGGTGTCAACTGGAGAATCCAATGATGATGCGTCCGTAACACAAACAAAACCAGCAACCGATATCGAAATCATTTCCAATCCAGATCCTGCTCTGACACGCTCAGAGAAACTTGAATTTCTCAATAGTGACAGGAAAAATCCTTTGGAAGAGATTGTGGAAGAGGAAGAGCCGAGGGTCGAGGGCGCAAAAGAATCTTCTGATAGCGAGAACTCGGCATCGATCACAGTTTTCAAGAAAACGTTCCCTTCATGTAAGTTTGACGTCTTTTCTTCTTGTACCATCACACTTCAACTTACATTTGACTTTCTATAAACATGGTCGAAACTGCCCGTGCGAACAAAAGGGTTTCCTATGAGTAGAATTGAAGGACGCCGTGGTGCAAAACAGCATCACCAAAACATCAACTATGATAAGATGTTACACCTTAAAAAGCCCACCAAAGCAGGTTTACTTTCAGACGACATCGGTAAGTTAGATACGTGCATATTTGGTTCTGAAGGCTTCTGGACCCTTTCCTAATGCTGATCATATTTTCGGATTCGAATGCGCACCCACCATGAATCAATATAGCTCACAGACTCCCAATATCGATAAACAAGGAGCATAGCGAATCAACGGGTTCCGCCAAGATATGTACGAGTATCTGTCTTTTCTTTCTTGAAGTTCTCTCGCTGATAAATTTCAAATCGTTTTGGCATTTTTGTTTCATAAAATCTAACATTTCTCAGTGGATCCAGTCGAAGTCTCAGAGATTGTAGAAGAATTGAAGCGCTCCAAAGCGGAAGCTACTAACTATATTATAAATCAGCTGGAATCCAGGAAAAGTGCATATAGCATATCGAAGTTTATAGGACCTTATAAGATTAAGAGGATCGAATCAAGTATAGCGCAACAGATTCAAGCTGTGGATGTGATCTATTGGTTAGCTTATCGTGGGGAGCCAGAGGCGCAGAAAGTACTCGAATCTAAATTGGCCAGCGGAGGGCTCGAAGAATCGGTAGAAACACGAATCAAACAGGCACTCGAGCTACTCGCAGAGAACAATAAAATTAGGCAGTCGTTGTTATCCGATTTTGCCGATGCAGGGCCACCAATTTCTACAAAAGATCAATTGATCAATCGATTAGTCACCCGGATCAATCGAGGGTTTTCACTATCTGCTGCCTTTGGTCAGGCTCTTGATGTAGGGAAGAGCCTGACTGTGCAAGGTTTGTGTAGATTATTTGCTCCAGCGACCAATCGAATTTGCCGAACTGTTTCCACCGAACTATCGAGAAAGCTAGGAGTGGATCCCTTCCGACGTTCATCTACTTTCTCCACAGGAATGAAGTCGCTGCACCTTTATGATTTCGCTCCATTTCCCGGCGAAGGCACTCGTAGAACACGTCAGTTAGGAAGAGCTTCCACCTTTGATCTGTCGAGATCCGAGCAACCTCGACATGAAAGACCGCCTTTCACACGTTCTCAAACGATGCGATATACTGTGACTTGATCAAATCAAAGCCTACTTACTAGTCGCGCTTCAACAATGAGGACTCAGAGCTTCATTTTGGTCAACTTTCTTTACTGGGTTCGTGTGCAGAATACATCCAAAGCTGCTCACTACACAACCTGCGGACATCGTCCTGTCTCTCCCTCTCATCATCACGATCATCATACCATCTCAAAATTCAGGGGACTTGACTTCTTTAAAAATCAATTTCTGTTTTTGCACTGCATTCGAAAACACTGGTCTCTCTTTCTTCAACTATCAAGACTTGATTAACATGTCTTTCTATCTCATTTGTTAGTTCAAATCCTACTTATGTAGATGGATATAAGAGTAACGTGAAGCAAATTGTCGTTCATTCAACTCTCCACCCCCATTACATTTTTCTTTGATCAATTTAACTTTTTTACATTGTCATGTTTTTTTTTCACCATCTACAGTCATGTATTTTTCTTTCTTTAGCTTGAATGTGTTACACCAGTTCATCAAAAGATTTATATTGTAAATTGGGAAATGGAAAAGAGTTTTTTTATACAAGAAAGTCTGATTACATTTTATTCTTTGCACAAATCTAGTGGATATGAGTTATAAGCAAAGGTTCCATCAAATATTGTCAGAGGGAAAACCTTCTTCTAGGGTATTGTGACTTGGAATTGTCCTTTTAGAATCTAGATACCCACAGAGCTACATACAATTTATTAACATCCATCATAACATCACTACAAATTCTTCAACGGGTTCAGGTTTGCATAACATCTCTCCACCTTTACTATGTACTACTACCTTCCCCTCTGGTGTTAGCATCCAAAGTTGGATTCAAGTTTCTTTCCTTTTCTTTCCCTTTACGTTGATCTGCCTTCCTTTTGTTACAACGTGAAGCAGAATGATTTGATTTACCACAATAATAACATAAATTATTTTCTTTTCGATGATTGAATTCTTGAGCTGATAAATCAAATTTCATAAACGATTTGATAGCATTTTCAGCTTTAGCAATCCTTCTTGGATCGAAATAAGTTGATTTAAATGAATTAATGAAGCTTTTGAAGGTGATTTGATCTATTGTATCATTATCTAGTAATTTGACTAACATTGGAGCTGCCCAGATAGCTGCATCACCGGTTAAGTAAGAGATAGCAAAGGCGACTTTATCCTTTTCATTTGAATACTTTTCTTTATTAGTCAAAACATAAAGAGAAACCTGTTGAACGAAAACTTCCGCCTTAGCCCCTCTTTCTCCATCAAACCAATCAGGAATATTCATGTCGAAGCAAGGAGATCCAGATGATACGGCGCGCCGGACAGATGGTGTTCTCCTAATCGTCAATCGAGTCGCAGCCTCAAGAGTTGCTAATCGTACTTCCATATCATGAATTCGAGCGAGATCGTTATCCAATCTAGTGGTAAGTTGCGCAATTAGACGGTTGATTTCATCGGTATCAGCCATTGGATCTAGGTAGGTGATGTATGCAGTGATGTCCTGGATGATGATAAACTTTGATTGTCGGTTCCAAGTTTCAAGACCGTGATTGATTGTGATGATGAATGAGGTTCAGAAGTTAATCAAATTCTTTTTTGGATCGTAGCTTGATAGAAAAAAACTGAGGGGGTCGGATTGTAAAGTTGAATATATTTGTTTTTTCCGGCGTCTGTAGTATGATCTGGTTCAACGAGTTTACGAGCTGATGGTATTTCATGCACGTCCCAAGACGGGTTCTCCTTATAAAGCGACTATAGGATGGGTTCTATTGAGGTTGTGATGAAGATGATGGATGAAAATTTGGAAATTCGACTCAAGCTCAAATTTTCTGGAGTATCAGAAGGCCTGCGCAATTTTCTAGCAGCTAATTTTTAGTGGCTAGAGATCGCTGATTAGAGGGCATGGTCGCATCCGCGGATAACTAGGAACTGTTCCTAAAAAACAGTTCCTTAAGACCCCTTAGGAACATTCCTAAATCAGTGTCGCACACCCCTGAGAAACCATACGCCCAATGTGACAACCCGTCATACTGATGCGTTTGACACAACGAGATACCAGACTGTCACCCTCTCAATCCTATTTCTACCCACGCGCGGAGTCACTAGGGACTGGGCGAAGCTCTGCAAAATTGCAATTCAACCGTAGTTGAAAGCGAGTTGCAAACAGCTAAGCCACTGTTCAATCAATATGAAATTTCCTTATTTTTTTTAGTAAGCTTTATGGCACTAAAAAAATAGGGTGGCGCACAGGCATGACCCTCCCTAAGACGAGCTGTCTATTCAAAATTTCCCCCCCCCACCTCAGCCAAAAGCCTATGGCAGAACGCTTCTGGATAGCCTGATATACCTTTCACAGGTTGCTCTCGCTCTGGTTTTGGTGAAATCATCTGACAGTCGGGTCTCTTGGGCTTGTAGGAGTAATCCTGACACCTCCTGTTTGCATAAATCGCTTCGGTCGACTTCCAGGGGATTCATGCGCTTATTGAGGTGGCTAAATCCTCTGTCGGTCGAAACCTCGCCCAGTCCCTACTGAAGTCCTCCAAACGAACAAACGAAACACCTCCACCGAATTTTCCGCACAACAACAGAGCTTGGTCGGAAATGTTTAGCCACGCCATGAATATAGACGTTGTCGACCAACACTCCAACATCCGGAACGGTGGTGCACAGTAAGAAGAACGCTCCGCATTGAGATATTCCAGCCAAAGCGAGATATCAATCAGGATGTAGACGCTCATGCCCGCGTTCAGGCAGCCTGGCCATATCACCTCTTCTGTGTAAGACCACATATTCATAATGAGCTGTGGGCTAGCTAGTTAGTAAGTCCCCGTATTTCATTATCCTTCTTTAAACACTATAATTATATATGATTCGATGACCACATTACACTATCCTAAACTTCTTAATGCTCGTCGCATAAATCCACGAAGTCCACTCACAGTTGCACTCCATCAACCCACTGGTTTTCGTTGCAACGGACCTAGCTGCAGACATCGTCCTATCCACTCTTCGCAATACTACAACCCACGACACCAACCCAACAAACCATTAATTGGTGTTTCGGTAAGGCACAACTTTAGCTTAAATTCATCAGAATCGCGCCCTGATAGACCATTCGCTTTATTCCACAAAGTGCCCACTTGCACCAGGTGGCGCGGGAGCTCTTCGAACATATAGCCGAACGGAGTATCTTCAAGACATCAGGACCTTGAACGCCATTCCAAACGAAACATTTGCGCCTTTGACCAGCCAATCCAGTTCTAGTCCAACCGCACGAGTTAATAACAAGCGAGACGGTGAACAACTCAGCAACAGTCATAATAATATGTCAGATAACAAACGGCCACGCGTACCCTGCGCAGGTATACCCGGCGTCGGTCCGCATCTGGGGAAGTCCAAGGCCATCAATCGTCTATGTACATGGGAGGTGTGCCCCGGCGTACGTGTTCTCACATACCAAATTGTTGAGGCGTTAATAAGCAAAGTTACTGACTCCTGATTTCCCTACTTATTTTGCATTGTTAGTGCTGCCGTACACAGCGAGGGGCCACTGGCAACAAGTGTTACACTCACGAGAACGCCGAGCGTTCAAAGCCTGCTCCAAGCACCCAACCATTTCTTCAAACCGTATCGGAAACCGCTGAGATTAGTGGATTCATACCCATACCAACAAGCAACAATGGACGCCTCAACATCCCCAACGACGACGAAGCAGACCTGCTAGGCCCTCCTCCGCCGGTTCATCCTTTGGTTCTCTCACCTGCTACCATGCGCACATATCACCTTAATAGATCACTTGAAGAAGAATTCAAACGAGCCGCAGACGCCGCCGAGGCCACATGTGATAGAAACATATCTATCACCCTATGGATTAAAGTACGTGTACTTGCATTCATCCACTGCAATATAAAAGCGAGACTGACAAATCTAACAGGAGGAAAGTGAACCGATGCCATTCTTGTTTGCACCAAAAATGATGAAGCAATATGCCATCTCCGAATGCGAAGCTCTGGTTGCATTTCTATCATCACATGACCCACATTGGAATAAGTGCCTCCGTGTATATGACGCGAAATCGGACAGATGGGTGACTTAGCATCACAACTTACACTATTTAAAATTATATATAGCTGATCGGAGAAAAAAATCACAGAACTACACGTTGATTACGACTAAAATACCTATGACTTCCACGCTTCGCGAGGGCCTGGTATGTCTTACGACAGTCGAACCGAAGTTGTGCAATGGAATGGTCGATTTACAGTCCAGATTAATTCCAGGCAGAACCAAAATCAAAGCCATTGTCGATTCACTCAGAGTTACCCCCACCAAACCTGGCGCCCCCGGCACCAGTTTCAATTCCGCCTCCAGCTCAATTTCAGCATGGAACGAGAGTACGGATCAATCAACACCTACACCTACCCCTGCCCTGGAAGATGAAGTAGGCAAAGGAAAAGGCAAACGTGCATTCTTACCTACTCCGCATCGGCAACAACCGCCAATCACTCCAATATTTGACGACTACAAGCACAAAGTATCTGCTCAAATGGCAGGCAGACGGCCCATTTTCTCACACAACATCTTGAACGACACACACAGCCCCTCGCCAACGTCCCCGTTTCGGTCTCAAGAAAGTGATCCTCCCATGATTGACTTAACTGACGTTCGCCAGCTCAGCTCAAGTGAAATCCATGACACTGAGGCTATGCTCAGTTCGCCACCACCACCCACCTCAGCGATTCCAAAACCAAACCACAGCGCCGCGGCAATCACGGCAGGCAGCACAGCACCGTCAATTTCGTTAACTCTGCCAACACAACCGCCAGGCAACGCGGCATCCCTCCAGGAACGGAGATCGACCAGGAGGACTCACAAAACAGGCCTGGTGAGCTAGCATGTGTTATGATATCTTACATCCTCTCATCTCATGAATTGCCTTATATCCAGTGGCCAGCACTTGACACGCCAATGGCCAAGATGACCCAGTGGCACGCCGCCCATTTAACGACAAAGGGTAAGAAGGGGGTCTGGGAAAGCTTCTTTTCGGGAACTCACAAGTGGAATCATAGTGCCACGTTTCGATACATACGTTGGATGAACGAGGTCACTCCGGAGCGATGGGCCGCGTGGTTTGAGCAGTGTGAGCGAAATCAACAGGAGACGACATTTGAAGTAGCCCGAAGGGACTTTTCCAAAGAACTAGATGCAGTCTGGTGATATGCAGACCAACATTTATAATTTTTAATGTTTGCCTTTGACTCCTGATTCTCTAGTAATACATTTTATTCCAACATGTAATAATTTTCTCTTCAAGTCAATATTACCATGATGTTTCTCTTATGTCCTTTGTCCTTTGTGATCAATCTGTTCATCCCATTTGTTCGGCTATTCCTTATCCTTGTTTGCCTTATGTCCGGGTTCTGTTTTATTCATATTACTTTTATCATCTTCACTTTCTTGAGCAATGAATACAATTTACTAATGTTTTCATTGCGCCATGTGCCCTTAGGCCAACCACCGTGATCGGCTAAAATTACGCGGTAACGCTTAGTACTACACATCCTGTACCTTGTACAGGATTCGTCCTTGAGGCATATATTAACCTAACATGCGACAAAATATTTGTAACCCTTTCGACCTCACTGAGCAAGAAAATTCCTGTTGCAATATGTTTTTTTTTGGATGACATGAAGTCTATCATATTTTTTTATGTTGATCGCTTCCATGACTTCATCCGTGATTAAATGAAACAGATACATAGTTCAATGAAGCGTACTGTACCACGTAGGACGCGTGTTTGGCGTTCTCACACACTCGCGTTCATGCAAGTTCCACATACCGGAGCATGACCTGCAATCATGCTCTACAAAGTTTATCGGCATGTTCGGTAAAACTCAAGAGATATCCTAGATACCCTTCGGACAAATGGGCATTCATTCAATACACACACATATGACCTCCGCACTTTGATCGCCAGTCTCAACAGTCTCGACAGTCATGATAACACGCAATCGGTCGGAGCTTGAAGTGTGACCAGTTTGTTATCCCCTTCTTCAGTTGCTGAGTCAAACTTTGTAAGCAAATGTTAAAATTTTCATCCTTTGGCTCCATGGGCTATCACGCCGCAACATTATTAATAGTAATACGATATAGTACTACAATCTGTTTGCGTTTGTCATGATATGATATTTTGTTTGCGTTTGTCATGATATAATGATGGCATCCGATCGGTTGCTTGCCCCACAAACGCGTATAGTCAGATTAACCTCGTGAGGGATATGTGTAGGTGTAGGCCATCAACGCAACTGGTTTGGATATTCGACTTGTTTCTTGATATAAAAGTACCATCGTTAAACCGGCTTGGGACATTCTGCACCATCTTCAGAAAGGTCTCCTCTCCATTTGATCTTTAACATCATATCCCATTCTACTTCTGCTATCATGACGCCGCCAGTTTATCGCAACTGGAAGAACCCCACTCCTCAGGACTTAGAATTTCTCAGAACTTTAACTGATCGCCAAAAGTCTGAAATATTCCCGTTGCCAGTCACGAACAAGTCACACCCTGCTGTTCGTGCCGGTTTGGATGAGTGCTTCGAATGTGGCAATTTCGGACACAGCCGTCTCACTCCTGGAGGATGCACTAACAAAGATACCACCAAAAAGCGGCCTGACTTCGATAGTTGGCGTCGAGCAGACAACGGCAAGAGGTATATCTTGAGCAAGATACGCATGTCGGATGCAGACCTTCGAGCTCTATCTGCTATTGGTGGTAAGTTTTCTCTCCAATTTACCTAATTTGGCCAACCATTAATGCCCTCAAAGGTCCGCAAAACCCAATAGAAATAAAGGACAATGATGCCCCTGTGGTTTCATCATCACCTCCGACCTTGACCACTAACACAAGTCAGGCTAGTACGGAAGCGAGTCATGAGTCTTCGCAGACAACCGTACCCTCGATTGGTGACGTGTTTTGTAAGCCTCATTATCCTTGAAGCTAGTCACACGATTTTTAAAGTTTTGAATATTTTGCTTTCATTTCATTTCTTAGCCGCTAATAACTTGGGGATCGTTCCGGCCACGAACGGATCAGCCGACTTTGCCGCTGGAACTACTGAATACGCTGTTGAATATCTTTCCGACCTTGCGAAGTCCAGCATAGGAACTGAAGCAGTAGCCAACATATTGTCTAACACACCTTCTAGTAGGTATCTTCTTACCGTGATTAATTTACATTAGAAACATTTTCTAATGTATAACCATTTGTCTGCAATGTTATAGACGCGAAGGTCATTATTATGACAAAAATCATCGTATTGCCACCAGGGGCGGCCGGAATGCCTCGCGATGAGGAACTCAAACTATCTGGCGAACAAATAACCGATCACCGTGATATGTTTGCCGAACGTCATGAGTATCCTCATAAATTGACAAACCTTTCAAGGACGCTGATAGCATTGATTGCTTTTCCTTGTTAGGTGGCATACGCGCACAAACTGAACCTGTCGACTTCAAGTATTGATTGTAATTGTATTAGATCAGTGTGATCGAACCAAAGTAACAGTGATAGTGAAATGAGTCAGGCTTTTACTTATGTGTTTCACATAATTACATTTGTACTTTTATCATTATATATATTGTCAGCGTATCTAGAAATCGATCGCCAATGGTTATTTTCAAGTTAACGCGAGAATAAGATCAATCGCACCAGCAACAAAAAGTTCAAACTACTCGGCAAAGCCAAGTCAGGCTTTCGGGTAAATTGAGGTAAAATAATGAAAAGAGAGATAAGTGTTGAATTTATCAACAAGCGCAAGTAATTCCATTGTCGAATTACTTGCGCGTAATGGTGCATATATATGCAAAGATGACTGGTCATTTTATTTTGAGTGACCAGCTTTTTCAATTGTATATATATATATCACTTCGAGAGTCACAACATTAGTACTGTCCTATGGTCCTGGTCTGCTCATCTCATCTAAGTCCGGTTGAACACATTCTATTCTTTGTGGTACTCATCACATCCGAATCTACATCATACCGTATCACGATCTATGTGAGTATGAGCTGGCTCGTACTCATATGAACCAGAGTTACAACATGATTAATATGAAGTGCAAGTTTGTATTATTTAGTAGTCATAATGCCGGGTCGTCAAACTTTGGATTCAGATCCAGATCTCAAAAGCCCCATGCCTGCTCGCGCTTCATCCCCTGCTGGAGCTGGAACTCAACCTATTATCTTATCCAACTCAAGCCCCGCTTCAAGGCCACTCATTGTGTCATCGGCGGAAAGTGACAACGGCGTCATTCCCGGAGGCGTGGTATCATCTGATTCTAATGAACCGATGTGGTGATCAATTTATGGGATCAATTAAAAAATTCACAATTACCAGTTTACCAGTTTATTAGCAGGATTCAGCAGGAAAGAAAATTCGAAATGGAGGTTTTTGATCAATTGAAGCTCTTGTAGGCTTATGTATTGGTCATTAGGTCAACATTACATCATTTTATTTCACATTATATATTAAGATCATTATAGTTTACTTACAAATTTATCACAAAAAGAAAGAAAGAAAAACATAAGAAAAATTCAAAATTATAGGTATAAAGGTTGGAAAATGGTTTTTAGGTTAGTAAAAATAAAGTTATGGGTATTATGAGGTTAGAATATGAAAGAACAACATTATACGATACTATGACAATTTTAATCTTCAAGGTTGATAAGTAGAAACAGAAGTTATTAGGAAAAAAGCACTTTTTCGAAGTTGGTAAACAAGAGGTACACGTGTAGTTTGGTTGTGTAATAGTGGTAGTGATGGAATTTAAGGTTGCCAAGAGGATTTTCCGGGATTTTTAAGGCTATAGATGATGATGTCATATTACATGAGCAAGAAAAAGATAGTAGTAGCTGTGAAAAGTGAAGAAAATGGGTGAAATTCGTGGAAAATGGAGGTTTTCAGCTAATTACATATGTCAAATGACGTCAGAATAGGTTGGTAGATGGCTCATTCAACGCAGAAGAGTGGATTACATAATGTACAAACTTTAAATCATTAGTAACGGAGGTGTGTGTAAAAAGTTATAAGGCAAATAAAGAATTGGTGTGAATCTCAAATTTACAGTCACAAGTCATATGTAACACTAAAAACCTTAACTTCACAACTCAATATATTACTCATCACTCATCAGAAGTAGGTCATGTAGGTGTCAGAAATGATCAGTAACACGTGGGCTACAAGATGCACTTTAGTAATCAAAAATTGGAGCACATCTGAAAAAATTTGTAATCTCAAAAATTGGTTTTCAGCTAGTTTACAAGGAAAAAATCACCTGTATTCATCATAAGAAGTGCTGTACATCATATTATTGCGTCATTGATCACTTTTAGCTGTGAAAATTACATCATTTATTAGTAACAAAACCATTACATTGCGTCATCATAGGGTTTTTAGGGAATTTTGGGCGGATTTGATTGGTTTTGAGGCTGTTGACCATTGTAAAAGTTCTAGTACATTGTTATATATACTTTGAGAGGGTTTTGGGACTGTTGTTCCCCTTTTTTTTTCTTTATCATTTACGCCATTATTATTTTGTTTATCATCATAAACTTATTTTAATAGTACCTGTTCACTTAAATACGCCCTTTATTACAGTTATAAAGAGAAATTTACTTTAGTTTTATAGTCATAAAGACTTATTGGGAATAATATCAATCAGATATTGCTTATTTTTTTTCAGTTATCAATTGGGAATAACACTATAGCAGTGTTGATAGTAATACAAAGTGTGCTTTTGAAGTTAAAATTACGTGTGAAGTTATATTTCTCTGGTGCCTTATCAGTACTCAATACAACAGAGCTCTTTCTGATTGTGTTGTTTTAGAAGAGCAGTCCTTAGACAACTTCTACTAGTCATTTTATTAGTAGATTATCCTCTTCCAGCTCTGTATAACCCTTGTTGGGTTATAAGTTCTACACCGATCACGACATCTTCCGACATTATGCCATCAAAACTATCCAAGAATCTTGGCAACCTTATCCCATCTTCCGTGGCAGCATCCCGCAAAGTTCGGGCACCACGGGCTGTAAGAACAACGACTGATACTAAGTATGAAGGTGGGTAAAATTTGCATATGGCTATGGTTTTTCAATTAATGCGGCATATCAAGTTGTTGACGCCCTATTAATGTGTGCCAGACGAAGTAGGGGATGGAGACATATTCTGTGTCTCCATTCCAATTCCCACGTCGGGTCTAAGGCCAGACTACCCATCCAGACGTGCCGCTTTCCTTTACCACCTTGATGACTACTACGGCGGTGTTACAAAACCTAGATACGAGCCGGAGATAACTAACGGACTATCAGAGTTTGTGGCCATATTCCAATTAGGCAGAGCGGTTGATCTTTCCAGAACTAGGGACAGCAATGATTGGTCTATACGTGAACTACGAGGGGATGGTAAACACGTGCCAATTAACGGCATCGCAAGGTACCATCGTTCCTGGACTTATGCAGCTAATTCTAAAAGCCAAGCTGTGGAAATCGCAAATGCACATATGTATGTGGCTCAAATGCTCGCACGATATCAGTGTTATCTGAAAGCTTTGGCCAAAGCTAAAGGCGTACCTGAACATTGCGAGTGGTATTTGCGATCATATGTTTTACACGTAGGAACGATAGAATATTGATTCATTTGAGCTGTATCAAAATCTGATATCACTAATTTGACCATAGGTTCCACGGGTTTCCCTGTTGCAGACGATAGGCTCGGTGGACCCGGATCTTGGGCGATGGATGTTATGTGAAACAGTTCGAGACACCAGCATTACTCGATATATCACACTATCTTGTTTCAGGGACGCCTTGCCACCTTCTGACCGATGGAAAGGCTTGATTCATTCTTTTATCCATTATGTATACCAGGAGAGTGGCGGCGAGACTTTGATTGGCCAAATCGACTGTGACAATTGGGGAATGATATCAAACGTCCTCTGCTTTAACCGAGGGTAAGCAATCTTTTTTTATGTTTTACCACATCAACTTTGCATTGTCTGATTGGCTCATGTAAGATCAATGACAAATCATATGCTGTGCCAGGTCGTATTACTTGGAAAACAGTGACAAGTTGGATCAGCCCTTTGTTGATTTCCAAAATGAGCACGCATGCAATAACGTATGCAAGCATCTTGGCCTACAATCAGTTAGAGTTTGATCAGTGCATATTTTTGATCGAGTCTTGTATTTTTCATAGAGTTCATTTCTACTTTTTGTATTTGTTAGTATTTATAGACTTAGATTTTTTGGTCCATTATACAATATTTGTTTCCTTGCTTTTCATTAACCGCCTACCAAATACTATCCTGATGATGCTTGCGTATATTTGCTCTTTCTTTGTGAGGGAAGTGTCATTTTCTATTAAATTCACAAGTTTGTAAAACTTGTCGATCATTTGTTTTTGTCATTCTGTTGCCTGATCAGGTTACTCAAAAATAACATTATGAGTAAATGCACGGTGTAAGGGGCGAGCGTCGCATTGCCCGATCACCTCAAAATAAGTGATCGGTCAAATACTTCTTCGCCGGTATTTCAAGCAGGTTGTGGGTAAGTCCAAGTGGCCCCGTGTACCTGAAGACAGAGTCACTATGGCCAGTGATCGAAGTGATTCTGAAAGCTAGTGAACGTGTGGCCATGCGCGTGACTCACTTTTCTTCAGTAAAACGAGATCATGCGACACGAGTTCACAGTAAGAATTCAAGCACCAATTGGGTTATTATCAAGTTACAAACATATTTGCCTAATGTGGATCACATTAAGATATAATAAACCAAACAATGTACTTCTAATAATCAGATGGGACAACCGATAAAAGTGAAAAGACAAACATGCAATTACATTGAAAAGGATGTTCGTCCCGAATGAATCTACTGCGACGTGTTCGTTCAAGTGCGCAACATGAATCCAACATTCATTCGTCAAAGTTGAGAACAATATCTTTGATCTTACTTCATTTGTCATTTGAGGTACACACTTCCGAGGTGTTCACATATTTCATTGCATACGTGTTGGTTAACGAACCGCGTGAAAGCAGTGTGCACAGCATCCTCCATGTCGTGACTGTGTCGGCTATGGTACGGAATTTTGCTATGTGGGCACAATCAAACATTCAGTTGAAGTAATAAGGTAATATGACGAATATTGATGACTTACTATCTGTCATAACAGGTCAAGTTGCTTAATTTACCAGACTCGTCACAAACGAGATTGGCTATCAAAGTGCGGTCACCGCTCAGCTCGTATGTGTAATGAATGAAGGCAAATATGAGGTCGGTCATAGGCCAAGCTTCCTTTTGATTCGGCTCATTTTGATAATTATCCGCCCAAACAAAACGGTGAAGGTCGAAGCCTTTGGTTGCACGCTCACATATCTTCCAGCGAGGCTCTTCATCGTTGACGCAACCGGATCCCTGCACTACATAAGATGGTTGCACCTGAATACGCAGACCAAGGTTGGGTCTTGCAAGTTGAGTATCGAATTTTACCGATTAAGTTAGGTAAACGGACTTACCGCCAACGATTTAGCAATGTGGTACCATTGAAGGTGTGTGGCATTCACACTTCCTACGTTCGATCTTCCTTTTCTGAAGAGTGTTTTTTGGAATGCTTCCAAAGCCATTGCCACATACCGGCTGCTTTGAGCACGTTCGAAACAGTGCGCACGTCCTTGCGAATTCATATCGGCCCAACGATTTTGGTACTTGAGATGATAGATACCAGCTATGTGATACTCTCGGTGATGAAGGTACAATTTTCGTGATACCCACTCCCAACCAGAGCCATCTATGAGAGCAGTGTGTTCGTCATCGTTATGTTGTCCCACTTTATAACCTACACGCTCGTGTAAGAATGGCACAACCTCGTGCCCATTGTAGTGCGGATGGTTTGGGTGGAATGCCTTTGGCGATAAACGATAGAGAGTGCCCTCTTCTCTCAGGCCTAAGTCCGGTATGTCCTTGTAGTAGGGAACTGCTGTAGCAGAGTCATTGGAATTTTCTATTGCATTTTGTAGTTGGTTGGAGATATTGAGTCGAATGTCGACAATCATTAGTCTCAATTTTATGAGCCAGTCAGGAGAGACAGTACATATCTGATGGTTCGTGCTGGTCAGTGTCAATAGGGTGACTGATATGCAACCCATCCAAGACCGGGGATAGCTGGCCTACGTTGTCGATCACCATTGGGTGAGGCTCAGAGCTGGCTAGCATGTGGGAGGGGTCGATATCACTTCCGGTAACATCGGGGGAGGAGTCGGGTGAAGGAGATTCCATTGGTTGGAGTAGTAGTTGAACTGGAACTACTGAAGGATGGTTTGCTGCACAGTTCAGCGAGCGCACCTCTGATTGCAACCTAGTTATCGGCAGTCAGGATGTATGAAAAAGCAACAACGATCGCCTGGTTTCAGAAATAAGTATCCGAGAAATTGCTGAAAATTGACGTCATGTCATGACGTGTAGACAGGATGCCCCAATCTATATTTCCTCCCCCTTTGCCATGATCGGGATATGATTCATGGAATAAGTTGACATCAAGAATGTGTTACTTATTCCATGAGGTTAAGTGTTCGGTGCTTATCTTTTTTTGTATTATGAAATTTTGAGCCTATTTCAGTGAAGGGGATCAAAGGCGTATTAAATCGACGTCATGGTAGTCAACCTTGTTTCATAAAATTATTACACATTGTGAAATAAGTATAGTGATAAGACTACGTCAAAAACATTGGTTCGACTAAGTATTAATGGTATTATTAGTTTGAATGTAGTATAACAAGAGGGTGGGGCGAATTTAATAACTAGATTGATAGTGGAATAGGACTCTGTTGGGCCAAATGTGAAGGAACATTACAGCAGAAGTCGGTTTTCCGCACAAGCTTCGCAAGCAGAGAATCATTCCGCACACGGATCATCTCCTCCAAAAAGAATCTGTAGTTTATCTCATGCATACCACGGCATATTGAGAGGAAACCTCCGTACCACGCGTTGGTTATTTCCGCGGCAGATCCATTGAAACGCCAAGCCCCATCGGGTTTCTTGAGGAATGGCCATTGCTTGGGGTTGTTGTGTTTGCGGCACGATGCATCTTTCTCAGAGTGAGTGCGCATGTGGAATGGATCGACTGGCCTTATCGTGCCCTTGAGTCTTTCCATCGCGGGTAGGTCCTTGCGGAGTGATTTGTCAAAAGTACATGCATTATCGAAGAATTGTATTGGCGGTAAAACAGGGAACTTTCTTTCGAGTATTTCCTAAGTGTGTAAAAGTTATGACAATTAACATACACAATTAAATTAGTTAAAATACCACCAATAATAGTTATCGCAGAATGGTCACTCGCCCTGACCAAGATAACAGACTCTGCGCGATACATCGTATCTCTAGCCAGGGTGATGCCACAGGTGGCAACGAAGAGCAAGTCATTGTGCGTCTTGGCGTTCGAACACGTCGGCTTCTTGGTTATGTTTGAGGCACGGACAGTATCTTCTCCATCTCGACCCGCTTTGTGGGTCCGGTCTGACTCGTCAACCTCAACCAATGCGTCCAGGTTGAATGCGTCTGTGTCAGCGTTGAGTGCAGCGGTTGGGTCCTCAGGCAGTTTTGCGCCCGTTCGCTGGTTGAAAGCCAGCGCAGAACGAGAACGGTGGGTCTTCTCATGTCGAATTTGAATGGCTTCTTTATGTTTGGTTAGCTCGCATGCCTTCGTGTCGCCTATTGCATCGCGGGTACATGGCTGTGCATGACACAGTTTGCCAAGGAGTGGACTGTGGATGGGGCAATAACGATCTTTGGGTGTTTCGAGCATGATCGTGCAAGGTGGAGGATTGGGTACCAAAGGATTGAGAGTTGTAAGTTGATCTTTGGTAGCACTGCAGCGGGGGTGCCCAATGGTGATTCCGTCCATTGCGATGGCGCGAAGAGCTGCGCGTAGTTTGATTATGAGCTTCTTGTGCTACGTGTTGTGGAATGGGATATTGATGCTCACCCAAGCCACCGCCTGGAACCAATGGGTCGTCGATTATCTCGGTGCAATCAGAGCACATATGGTCTATGTAAGGACTGCCCTCGAGCTCCAGCCACGTCAGGACGGTGAGTTTTGCGGAACGGAACCGATGCCGAGATCCTCCAGAGTTGTAAACACTCATGACGCGCTTGCGGAGGTTAAAGTGTCGTAGCAGTCGAGCCAATTCCAGCGCCGTGGTGCAGCAGTGGTCGGAAAGCGAGGCCTTAAATATCTCCCCAGCGAAATGATTTGGGGCGTCCTCGTTGAGCTTGTGAGAGCTGTTGTAAATGGTAACCAAGTTGTATATGGAGACGCTGTTGAGAGGGAATAAAAATATGTTGAGCTGCGTACTCCCTCTCGTCATGCCTTAGTCATTAACTTACTGAGCTAGGGACTGTGCGTGGTTGAAGTAGTTTAGCAATCGTATTGTCATAAAGTAATGCATGTTGACTTGAATGCAATCAACATCATTGCGGACCGTGTCCAGGTAGTACGTGCGAATATCTTTGTTTGAACAGTAGGAGGCCCTATAGCTGGTCTTGCATTCTGAGCGAGCGAGCGGGCACAGTCAGGAGTGACGCTGAAGCGAGACACGCGTGAATAATGCTTACGACGGCAGTATGTGGTATGGTGCCGAACGGACTTGACGCTGTCAAGGTCGTAAAGGTATCCGGTGAGAGCCGGCCTCTTTTCCAACATCCGTCGTGTTCCGTTCTTCTTACACTCTTCATTGGGGCATTGATCTTGGTAAGGTGGCCAGAATATGCGTTCAGCAATCGGCTGGGCGCCGTGCTCGCTATTAATTCCTTTATCGCGGATGAGGTGTGTAGGTTCGACATATGAAGAGGCGAGCGTGGGGTATAATACTGTCCATAGCACCTCCCACGTGCCGGGAATGGTAGGGGGATGCAGTGCGGCATTAAGGTAGTCGTATGGCGCGTTGTCAGGGTCAATTCTGATTGTTCCTTGGTTGATTTTAACAAAATGGCTAGCGACAGTGACGAAACGGAATATGTCTTGAGCATCGAGGGATTCTAGTACTGAGGGGAATTCGGACAGGATTCCATATATCTTGGTCATACGCATTGTCGGTGAATGAGGGGGTATGGTAATTTGTTCCAATGTTGAGTGCGAAGGTGCGCGGGGTGAGGATGGATGGTGATGTTGCCCAATGTCGAGTACAGCTATCCTTGTGGCAATGTGATGTCGATGGGCAAGAGTGGTGATGGGATCTTATGCGGGAAAGTATGATCAATTGAGGTGGAGGTCTGTACGTGCGACAGGGCGTGAGACGTAAAGGTTTATGTATTGTCAATTTCATTGTACGCATTGGGCGTAGGAACTATGTTCCTTAAGTGCTAAGGAACAGTTCCTAATTATTCTCAGGTGCGACCGTGTTCTGGCTGATTACATACACGCGGCCTTCCCTTTTCAGCATCAAGTGACAGGTTTTACACGTGCCAGACCAAAAGGGATATCATCAAACCATGTCCGCTCTCGAAGAGGGGCTTAGGGCTTATACACCGAGCTTGGCCTGAGACCAGCAGGATTTTCAAGCGATGATTTTCAAGCAATGATTTTCAAGCAATCTTGTTTGAAATCCCGCTTTGGAGGCTCTAAACACTAATAGGTGCCTTCAAACTAGGGAAAAGTTGAAAAGTTGAACAGAAAAATTGGGAACCGTGTAATTACAATTTAGCTTAACAAAGCCCTCTCTGCGCGGCCACGTCCGCGCGCCTCGCAGAGGGGCTTACGACTAATCGTCGATTTTTGGCGTGAACACTCCAAGCGTTAAGTGTCCTTATGTTGTTTTTTGCAATTTGACGCTTCCCTCACTAACAAACATCGCTTTACCCTGCAGGGAAAGTGGTTTGTAAATGCTTTCTACATGTCCTCATGGCCTAACACCATGGATACTCTGAGTGATGCGGCCACAAAAGAGGTTTGAAGATTTGCACTAAGCCCGCCTGTACAGCGGGCTTTTGGGTTAATTTCTGACTTTCAGACATAAAGAATTCCTCAAAAACACTTAAAGTGTGAATACAAGCGCGTGAGCTATGTTACTAGATTGAGACATAAGGGCTTCACAATCAAGCTCAAAAAAAGCATGATGAAGCAGGTTTTCCCAGATGATGAATAGATGAAAATATGTAGACAATGTTGGTGAACCACTTTCCCTGCGGGGTGAAGTGGTGTTTGTTTGCGAGGGAAGCGTTGAAATGCAAAAAACAACATAAGGACACTTAACGCTTGGAGTGTTCACGCCAAAAATCGACGATTAGTCGTAAGCCCCTCTGCGAGGCGCGCGGACGTGGCCGCGCAGAGAGGGCTTTGTTAAGCTAAAATTACAATAGGGGTATTCAAAACTCCAGAAACTCGTCCCAGAAGTTCCCAGAAGTGACATCCAGGAACTTCTGGGACACCCCAAGTTCAAACTTGGGAAATTAGAGTTCCAAATGGACCCAAATTCAATCTGAAAACTTTGTATGTCCCTATGCAACAGGCAGCCCGTCTCCACCTAACACCCCCTCTTCCACTCAATTCAAATGGCTGATCTACCCTCTTCCCACCATCTTTCTCGAACTCCATCAGACTCGTCAATTGCCGGACAAGTCCCATCGATTTCTCCCTATCCTTATACCTTGGTCTCACCAACCATCAACCAACACATCTCACCAGTTCTCAATCCTCATATCTCGCCAAGTATCAACGCTCATATTTGGGGAAGCATGCCTGCAACACCTTACCAACCAGCAATTCAAACTTTGTCTTTTCAAGGAACTCAACACCCTCAACTAACTCAAAACAATCCGGATCCGAAGAAAAAAAACCGAAAGAAGGGTGTTCCCAAGCCCAAGCAGCCATCGTCGCCTGCCCGTCCTCGAACCCAGTGGCATGTAGATGTCAACAAAGATGGAAAGACCCCTTTATGGCTCTTAGTGGAATGGCTATCAACTCCCGAAGGAGATGGTTTTCGTCTGGATTGGTGGAGAACTGATGGAGGAACGATGAAAAAGGCCAAAGTAGCTCAGGATGTCTCTGATTTCCTAGCTGAGAATGGCTTTCCTAATATAAGATCTACCTCAGTCGAACAACAAGTACGTTGATCTACTGCTTGAGTGTATGTATACATAGGTTGATTCTTGTTTTTGTTAGATCCGAGAACTTGAGAGAAGTTTTCGCGAGGCGCGAGACTACCGCAAAGGAAGTGGGGAAGGTGCGAAACAGAAGCTAATGGATGATGCACTTGCTGAGAAGGAGGCAAATGGGTACGCTT